GGGACTTAAATTAAAAAAGCACAAATGTGCGTAACACAATTTAAAAAAAGGCTGAGATCAGACATGACATCAAGGAGTTATCCTGGGAACCAGGGGCGAGATGTGCCGTAAGACAGCCACAGTTAAGAGTTTCCTGGCAGTCAAAGCAACAAGGGAAAAACAATTTCGTCGTCATATCAAAGCAAGCTCAATTCCTAATTCTAAGAGGCATTCAAAAACAAGGTATACCTATACGACTCTGAGATGCAGAGGAATTTAACTTACTCAAAAACTTGTTTCTTTCAGAATTTCAACACTAAATGCATAGGGTGTCCTGAAAGTTATTTTTTATATGTAAGTATTTATACATACACTATATATTATTATATATTATATATAATATATAATAGGAGGCTGAATTTTGGACTGTGAGACCAGAAGGGACAGAGGGAATCTCTGTTCCAGGCTCCGGCAACTGAGGGAGCAGTCTCTCTCTGGTCGGTGTCTGATCCCCACAGGCTGCAGAAGAGAGGGCCTGGGATGGACATCCAGGAGCCTGGGAATACCCAGGGGCTGTCACGGCATCTTTAGGGCCACTGAGGTGGCAGGGTGGGACAGAGGACTAGGAGTCGCCCCCCGGTTCTGTTAGAACTACCACCCCACTACCCGTTCATAACCCAGCAGTCTAAACAGCATTTTAACTGGCAACCGAGTGACACAGAGGTCAGAGAGAAAAAGGCCCAGCACGTAGTCAGCATCATGTGGAGCTCTTCAGGAAGATCCGGTCTCTCTCCACTTTCAGACCAACCACCACAGTCAAAACGGCAGCTGAGCTGGTATTTCAGCGCTGGTTCCACATGCATGTTGTTTTCAGGTGTCAGAGGAGATTGCTACAATACTGCCCAACACCAAATCCACTTTCTGTTCATCACCAAGGCAACAGGGATATTTGCATAGCTTGTGCCTACTGCACTTTGATGTCACCACAGCTGGGGAAAGGGCACTGGGAAGTTCCCTCCCAGATGCATGGTACCTTCACCCCAAACCAGTAGAGCACTCTCCTCCAGTGCTGCAAAGCTATGGGTGCTGCAGCTGATTTGCTATGGTGACGATGTGGTCTTCAGAAGTCAGATAAAAACTACATTTGCATAAGCCAAACTTTTATCCTATTTTTGACACACTATTTCAAAGAAATTATGATAGTTAAGGCTTCTTGTGAGACAAATCTCTTCTCCAGTGAATGTTGGGGTGAGGCTGTGCACTGAGGCTCTTCAGGCAGCGCAGCACAGCCCTCCACTTGGTAGGTCTCTAGCCTGTCAGACTCTAGACCTGGTGCTGGCTAAAGTGGGGAATGACTCCCGCCTGCCACTTCGGAAGTCGTCACTGTTCTATGGCCAACCACAGAGAAGACACAGATTGTTTTGACATCTGTGTGAGGCACCAGTAGTTGGAATATTAGATTCAGAGAAGAAACACACTGTTCCAAAATGTTCCAGCCTCAGAAAAAAGCTAAGTGAGATGTAATATAGTTTAACCACAACTAAAACCTCTCCACTGTGTTTCAGGTGGTACAAGTCTAGTGAAGGATGATACGAGAAGCTTATTAGTTTTGAGCGTCTGCAGCAGGGCCAAGTCTTAGTTTGTGTGCATCTTCATTTCCTCCTCAAGAGATTAAAAAAAAAAACAAAACCCCAGTTAGACCTCCTGAAGTCCCCTTCCAGGCACCTGCATCTCCTTCCTCATGGTTACGTGTTCATGGCCTCGATCCAGAGCAGCCAGGCAGCCCTGCAGGTGTAGGCACCTGCCAAACAGATGAGCACTCACACGTGGTGCAAACAAGCACAACTCCTCTAGCCCAATGCCCACCCAGCCATTTAAGCACACACCAGTGCCTCAGCCTCATCTCACATTTGCCTACACCCAGACACAGCATGTGCAGTAGGGTCAACCACACAACTCGTTTAAAAAGCAGTTCCAGAGTATTTAAAAGATAAGACAGGTGAACAGAGTTCCTGGCATCTCCCTTTCTAAACGCCAAAGACCCACTGAAAAATGTTTCAATTACAGTTCAAAGTGAGAGGAAACAGAATTATGATAATAGATGATAATACGAATTTTCTAGCTCCATCTCTAAATGTTCTTACTTAATCTTCACTATATGCCTAAGGGATAGACCAGGAAATGGGCCTCCTAAAGGTTAAGGGTGGAGCCAGGGTTCTAGGTCTGACCCCAAAGTCCCCACGCTTCATGTTTTCCTACGAGATCACACTCTGGCTTCAACAAGTAACAGAACATGCTTGTTTGGAAAACCAGCAATCCATAGTCCACACAATCCCAGCCACATGTGCTCCCGAAAGTCTGAGGGAAGAACCAAGGAGCTCATCACCTCTGGCCATTGTACTTGTGGGATGGAAATGGGGTGGTCTAAGACAGGCAAGGAAGGCTCCTAAACCCAAACACTGAGCTGCCTCCTCCAGCTCTAAGGAAAACTCTTGCTGAACCTGAAAACTGTGCCACTGATCAACGGCAGGTACATGAGGAGCTTATCTAAGCTTATCTAAGCTCCTCATGACTGCCTTTGTTATGAAAACTGGCATTCTATAAACTCATGTGAGTGAAGTGTGGGGCAACCTATCATTGTATGAGTTAGGTCTAATTTGAACTTAATATCTGATGTGCAGATTTCCATGATTCTTTTCACAGCCAGTAACAGAAAGCAACTTCTTTTGTTAAACTCCAACATTCAATTAATGAAGACCTCCAAAGTACGCTGAGACCACACATTTGGGTTTGTGTTCAGTTTGTGCAATTACCAACAAGCAGGCTAAACTTTAGTCCTTGCCTTTGTACATAATTCACAGAAGAATGACTACCATTTATAAAAACAAGAATGAGATAGCACTGGGGATTTCACTTCTCAAGAAGGAGAGCATATAAGTATTTCAAATTCATATATAGTATAGGAAAATGCTAATGTAATGACATATTAAATTCTTTCCATCAAAATCAGTCTGCAAGCCACCTTCTCAACTCTACTTTGTCTGATTCAGGGCTAGATTTTGGTCTACGTGTACTTCAATCAATTCATGTCTGCACATGCCCTGGACAGAGTAGGAAGTAGGCAGTGTAAACAAAAGATCACTGTTTCTTGTGATCAAACAGTGAAAGGGTTTTCATTCACTGCTGGCCTCATCTGGAGAGCAGCTTCATGTGCTGCTGTCCACTGCAGCAGACCACCAGGACATGCCCAGGTCACAGTTAGCCAAGAGCAGTGTTCCTGCACATGGAGTGACTTGAGCTGGACAACCTGACTGCGAAGAACCTAGAAGCCACAGAAGGAAAACAACTCCAGCTTCAGTATTACGGGTGGTGGAGGGGAAAGAAGGAGGCATGTTGGTTGCAGAACGGCTCCAGTTATTCCAAGAGCAAGCATTTTTACATTCTAAGGGCTTTGGATCGCAGCCCCGGCCCATGGTCAAGACTCCCACCCAAGTAGACACTACCCTTCCAGTACCTCTGTTCCACATCTACAGAGGATCGCAATCTATCCTTGCTGGCACTGCGTCCAGCAGATGAACCGGCACATGCACTCACACAGTTTGGGTGATGAAAGAAACTGGCAACAGCTACTGAAGAACAGTCTGGCTGTCTTGGGCTGACACACTCACGAGGGAGAGAAGGTGCAGGCTGCAGAAATACAAACACTGCACCACTCAGGTAAAGGCAAGCTGCTCACTTTCTCACAAATTCCAAAATAAAGATTTAGCTTCTCAGAGAACCTCTCTTCCCTCCATGCCCACTAACATCCCTGTGCTACCTAGCCTTTACCAACAGCCTCCCTACTCTCCACTAGGAGTCTCAAAGCTTGGAGTCTTAGAGAGCGCCCCGCACAGCAGACCTGCATAGGAAGAGCTGTGAGCGTCAGTGGCCCTCTGGCCATAGTTCATTCAGCAACAAATGCCTTTTAAGAGCTCCATGACCTTCACAGCCCCTGGGCTTTGTCCCACAACTGGTTCTCCCTGTGCCTGCACTACTGGTGCCTCCTGCCAAATCTTTAAGAATCTGAGCATCAAAATAAACATTGAGAGTAACGCATTGTAGCCCATTGAATAAAACAGGAATCCATGAATCCAAGTTGGTATACTAAATAATTATATGAGAGAGAAAGGAAAGCTCTTCGTCCTTTACAAGCTCTGTCATATTACAAATGGAAAAGTACTAACTTCACAGCGGAAGACACCACCTTGGATCAAAGTGAACCTCATCAGTAACAGGACAAATGGACATCATGTGCCTCCTGTTGTGCCACACTAAGGACACATCACCTCTGGAGTGCTCCTGTCAGAAATGCAAAATGTGAGTCTCATCATGCAGAAATATCAGATAAATCAAATTCAGGGAGTCTATAAATTACAACTGCCCTGATCCTTCAAAAATGTCACTGTCATAAAAGACAAAGACAGAGGATGGTTCCAAATTAATGGAGCCAGAGGTAAGACACTTGAATTCAATGCATGATCCTACATTGGCTCTTGGGCCAGAAAATACATTTTTTCTTTTTTTTTTTTTTTCCTGAGAAGGGCACTGTTGGGACAAGTGGTAACATTTGAATAAGGTCCACAGATCAGATAATAGTTCTGTAAAACTATTTGTGAATTTTGGTAATTACACTGTGGTTACACAAGGGATTACTCTTATTTTTGGGAAATACATACTGAAGTATTTTTAGTGTAGAAAAAGCAGTATCATGTCTGTAGTTTATTCTGAAATAAACTGTACACGTGTACAAAGTGGGAAAACATGAAAACAAATGGGGCAGATATAAAAGGGTGGTTCTTTGTGTCATTCTTGCAACATTTTTGTAAGTCTGAAATTATTTCAAAATGAAGTTACCAAAATCCACTGTAGTAGTAAAACTCCGACTGAATAGAGGGGCCAGGCCGTTCAGCCCAGCAGGGTCAGCTGGGAATGACACTGCATCGGGAGAGAAGAGGGGACATGCACTGGGACTTTGCGCTCACCTGTGCCTCTCTCACCTCCTCCTTCAAGGATTCAGCCTCCACAGCTCCGTCTCAAACGCTTCCCCACTGCCCTTAAGTGGACTGAATACATGACAACTACACGACAACTTCCTCTATTTCTCTAACTGGAAAAACGGGAAAATATCCTGTCAGGCTTCGCAAGGCTCATGGCAATAAAAGACTAACACTTTAGACAAGGCATTGTAATAGCATTAAGCAAATAAAGACAGTCAGTATTTAAAAGGTTAATATCCATCCGAAAGCAGCGCAGTGAGGTACACTGCTTGCCAAGAGAGGATAATTCCCTTGTGAAGACAGCAGGTAATTTGAATTCATTATTTCCCAAAACGGCCTCCCATTACCTTCCCAGATTTCTGCCCCCAATATTTAACAATGGACCATTAAGTGTGATTCCAGACAATGGACTGTTTTTAATCTAACAAGTATCAAGACGGGTGTCTGTGGCTTTGAAGATCACTGTGTCACTATCCAGAGTATTATCCAGTGTTTTGAACTATTTTTTTTTTTTTTAGACGGAGTTTCACTGGACTACAATGGCGCAATCTCAGTTCACTGCAACCTCCGTCTCCTGGGTTCAAGCGATTCTCCTGCCTCAGCCTCCCGAGTAGCTGGGATTACAGGCGCCCACCACCACGCCCAGCTAATTTTTTGTATTTTTAGTAGAGACAGGGCTTCACCATCTTGGCCAGGCTGGTCTTGAACTCCTGACCTCAGGTGATCCACCCACCTCGGCCTCCCAAAGTGCTGGGATTACAGGTGTGAGCCACTGTGCCCAGCCTTGTGTTATGAGCTATTTATAAAATCTGAATATATTTATCTTTGTTTTAGAAAAATTGCATTATAACCTAGAATCTATCCCTACTCCTGCCCCCCAATATCCCAGCCTACTAAGAAAGCTAAAGTCCTTTAATTATTTGTGACTGTATTTTTGCACTAATATTTTTAAGATATGCAAAAGAATATGCACAATGACAAAACCTTGTAAATACTGCAATCAGACAAATTTCTTTTACCAAAAGCATGGGAACAATAGGTTGCTTCTTACTGGAAACACAGACATGACCATCTTAAACTGTGAAATGACATTGGGAGAAGAGGAGGGGAGGCAGGCTATGAACCTGTTAAGGTGCTGCTATCACATCCTCAACAGAGAGGCAAGGTAACAAAGACAACCCAGCAGCCTAGGTTTCATTTGCATGTGACTCAAACTACTTCCCACCTTGACAGCTTCACAAGAGGATGGCTGGGGACTGGGATGCACTCCAGTCCCCACACCAGCCTTAGCCCATGTCTTGTCACTGACCACTCATGGCAGCCATGGAGGTGCATTCACCAGGTGCATCTGGGCAGGCCCACAGGAAAGCCTTGCGGAGTCATGCATTCATATTGCATGGTTTAAAGAGAAACTTGTATAATATCCTTGAACACATCCAGCTCTGTAGTCAAAATCTCTAACAGAATCCTTGAGAATGTGCGAGCTTATCTCAGTACCCAGAGCTCCTGGCAGCAGGGGGACATGTGGGCGCCAGGCAAGGCCTACTGCCGCGGTTCTCTCTCAGGCAGCCCCATCTAGGGCAGATCCTGCCCCGAGAGTGTCTACAAAGCCCCGTCCAGATGGGAAGGAGACAGGCCCAGGGGATGGTCAGTTCACTGCCTAGGTTCAGAGATGTCTCCATACCCACCAGAAATGATCTATCCTGTTGGATTCTAGACACAATCCCAGAATTGGGACTTGAGTGTATTCACCTACCCTCTTAAAGGGACTCATGTCCTCCCCACTTCCATCCTGAATACACTGTGGTCCCACTTCTCACCAGTTCTTCCTAGTCAACCAAGAGACAGCCACGTCCAGTCACACACAGGAACACCAAAATCTCTTTAGGTAAACCAAGGCAGAGGAACTGGAGGGAATGGTTACTTCAGTGACAAGTTATAAAACCAACCAAACTTCCAAAAAAACTACATTTCAGATTTAGGCTGGAAAGGAACGTATGTTCTGTGAACTGGCTTATGTCAGGTGGAGGATGCCAGGAGTTCTGCCAACTAAAGACAGTATTTTAAGAAATTCTTAAGTCCATCAATGTCACACTTCCCATTTCACAACAGAATCATCACTACAGCACGCTCCTCAAACACCCCCACAGAAAGGTAGGAAGATCCGATGTGTGTTTGAAAACATCCTTGACTCTTACAGAAATTCCATACTGAAGAACTGAAAGTGTCCTTTGTAATGGAAAATGTCTATTTGTCTAAAAGAAGCCTAAAAAACATTGCATAAAGGCAGAAAAATAATAATTCAAAGGTAAAATCCATTTACTTAGCAACAATGAACTAAGCATGACCTCCCCTAGAAGAGAAAACAGATTAAAAAAAAAACTTTAAGAGGTACTTATATGAAACAACAATGTCCAGGAAAAAAAAAATAGAGCTAGAAGAGAAGGGGTAAGAATAAATGATATTAACAACTATAACATTTTCCACAAAATAAGAATTAGTGTCTTCCTTTTGGATAAATCAACTGAATTAACACCTTTATATGAGGTGTTTAAAACTTTGTGAACAAGTAAATACCCTATATCACACTTTTGCTAGTGCAACCTTTGCTAGGTTGCTAGTGCAACCTTTTAGAACACCCAGTCACAGGTGTTCTCAACAGTACTAACTCCTGGAGTCAAGATCTACACATTTAAAAACCTCCCCCACGTGGCCGGGCGCAGAGGCTCAGGCCTGTAATCCCAGCACTTTGGGAGGCCGAGGCAGGCAGATCATGAAGTCAGGAAATCGAGACCATCCTGGCCAACATGGTGAAACCCCGTCTCAACTAAAAATACAAAACTAGCTGGGTGTGGCTGCGGGCACCTGTAATCCCAGCTACTCAAAGGCTGAGGCAGGAAAATTGCTTGAACCTGGGAGGCGGAGGTTGCAGTGAGCTGAGATTGCGCCACTGCACTTAAGCCTGGTGACAGAGCAAGACTCTGTCTCAAAAACAAACAAAAGTCTCCCATGTGAAAAAGGTGTCCAAATGGTCACCTATATTGCCCCCAGGTAAAACAAACAAAAAAACACTGCTTCTACTAACTACAGATGATGATACAGGCTAAAATTTTTTTAAAAATCAAGAACATAGCTCAAAATAAGTGGCAGTCAATTATCCATAATATAAAGTTTTTATAGCTCAAATTACAGGCTATTGATGAGTGGCCTCCTAATACATTTCAACAATTAAATGTCCAAAGACAACAGGGCTCTGCAAGGGCAATGGCTCCATGCTCTTACTCAGTTCACCCTGCAAATTGCAGGAGAGCCTTTTACATGAGTGCTGGGATCGCTCCCATGCGCTAAGTGACAAAAGATGTTGTTTAAAAATTACCTTTAACTTTGACCTAAAACGCACAAGGGGAGTACAGAAACACACTACATCGATTGAAACCTATGTTAATAATATTTAGGTGAGACTATCTCAAAGTCTATAAATAATCCCTATTTTAGCATTGTTTTAAAGTCTGCTCATAAAATTCCTTTGCTGCCTCCTACTGTATTATTTAAGCGCCATTACTTAAACTCAATCATAAAACAAATGAAAAATGGGAAAGGAGAAACAATGAAAGGTCACAACTAGGCAACAGTATTCATTTCCAGAATTAGCACGTAGTTATAACAAGTCACTTTGTCTTTTTTAAAAAATACGGTGTGGAAGGGGAGGGCGTGGGCAGAAAAGGGGGTTAAGAAAACATCATTACCCTCCTTGCATAGTAAGCGTTAAACTCGTCTCCGATTCGCCGCAACTCTTGGGCGATCCGTATCTCCGGGCGCATATCTGCAGGTTCAGCCTGCCTCCTGGAAGCTGCATCAGAACAAACAAAACAAAAATCACACTGTGGTCCATGGATCACTGGGAAAGTTCCAAAGATAAGTCTCCAAAGGCAAGCCCATCTCACACACTCTTTCACGTTTCTGGGAGCTCCCTGACTTCAAGAACTACAGCCATGTATTAAAGGTTAGAGTGGCACAGTCGTCTACATAACTCTGGTTAAAGAATACGAGATATAGAATAAAATTTCCTTTTTCAAAACTGGAGATTCAGAATTGCTGAATTCATTCCGACCCATTCATACAGACTTCCATTTCAAGAAGCTACTCACAAGAAAATGGAAAATCCTGCCAAAGAAATAGGCTTGAAACATAATTATAACAGAACAATTTAGTTTTTCAGTAAAATAATCATTCTGATCTTATTACAAGGTAAAAATTCCTATATAACTTTCAAACATTATCTAAAAATATGAGGTGAAATGGCTGTCCCATTCAAAGCCAAATAAGCGAAACCCCGAGAAACCTGAACGAGTTGGTTTCTATGAAAGCAGGTACGATGATACAGACAGCTGTCTTCAGAAGGGCTACCCCAGGGCCAAAGGAAAGCATAATTGCATGTTTTGTCTCAATATTAATGCATCCAATCAAGATGAGCTCAAGTCTGCAAACACCACATGGAGAGAAAAAATGTTTTTGGGTCTAAGAGCAAAGGCATTTCTGAAAGGAGAAGAGAGAGGAGGACTGCCCTTTCATTAAGCTGTCACTAACATTCACACCCAGTACATTCATCTGTGTACTAATGAAACCATTAAAAGCCATGTGACAGCCAAAATTGAAGGAGAACAAAAATGTGAGTTGTCAAAAGATCCCATTATGCATTAGGAAGATTATATTCTCCATGTGCCACCAGGAAAGCATTACACTCAGAGGCTAACAGTTCAGTAACGTGTACAGGAAACGAGATAAAATTCTTGGATTTCCACCACTATTCACATGTAACTTACGCTAACTTACTGTAAAAACGGGCACACCGTACTCACAATTAAACACACGTATTACGTTTTCACCAGAACAAAATATGTAAAAACCTATGATAATAGGATTTTGCAATAATAAGGAACATAACTTCCTGTTTTTTTTGTTTTTGTAAAAGGCCGGTAAAACTGACACTGATTCAGAGCTCTATAAAAGCACTTAAAAGTGAACACTTTGAAGAGTTTTTGCCAATTCTTCTAAAATCTCTTGCCTCATCTTCTCTGACCCCAGCCCCTTCCCAAGTGAATTTAACAATAATCCCACAAAGGGAGGAACTGCTGTAGGAAGCCCTGGTGGAGAAGCACGAAGGCTGATGAACAGGAAACTTTTAGGATGTCAGGCATGGCCTCTGAATACAGCCAATCATACAAAATTTACTTTGATTGTACCTGTGTCACACAAATGCTTCTAACAAATCTGTAAAAAGTCTTAAAATTAGTTTTTGAACTAAACTGGGAGAAAACAAAATCTCTGGGTACATGGGATACCAGGTGATGCTGATGTCATAGTTCCTTTCCCTGGGCTTACCGCCCTTTAAAGAGCTACTCTTTTTAAGTGTTCATTCCCTGATTTAGAAGCTTTTAACAAGTCAGTTTACCCTTAGGGGAAGAAGAAAAGTGTGTTTTGTTTGGGCACCCACTGCACAAGGGTCTCATGCAATCCTCCTAAAGGAGATGCGCCTACCCATACGCACAAATGAATGGCCAGCCAGCAAGACACCATCACTCACCTCTCCTGAGCTTCAAGCTCCACCTGTTTCTCTCTACACATGACTGACAGAGAAAACTGCCTTCAACCCCGGAGTCAGAAGTGAAGAAAACACCAATTATCAAAAGGATATCTGTGAACTACAGATTGATGTTTTATAAAGTTGGCAGACTGGTAAAAATTGCAGGCCAAGTTACCAATACTTAATACATCAATGATATTCACAAATCCACTCAACAAACACAAACACTCACGTGCCTGACATTGTTCTAGGAGGTGCTCTGGGTACAGCAACAACAGAGGCCATGCCCTGCTCCCACAGGGCTTACCTCCTTGTGGATTAACCGCTTGATTTCAACTAACTGCTAAATTTCTTTGGGACAAGGAGACATATATTATACTTTTTATAAGACAAAACAAAAATAACTCCCCCCATCAATTTCCCCCAACTCGTAAATAAAGTCCACTGGATTCTCTTTAACACCTTGGCTTGTGTCTGTGGTTTAGAAGCTTCCACGGCTTGTGCTTGGGCTGGCAATTGCAAACACCACCAAATACCATCAAAGGGGCAGTCTCTGTCAGAAGCCAACCTATCAAAACTAGCACTTAGTGAATACATTCAACATAGCCAGCAGGTAGGAGCTTTTAACAAGTTAGCCAATTTCAACTTATTCATCTTAAGAGATAAATGCCCTGCTGGCTTTGGCAGAAGCAAATAAGCAAATGGCCTGTTTCTTGTACAAAAAGAAAAGTTCAGTAGTTAACATTAATTAGCCTAAATAAATTCATGGATATAAACACATCCCTAAGCTCTGGCAGGGAGAAATGGAGGGTGTGTGTGTGTATGTGAGATATAGGAGGCTGTACTGTTACAAGTCCCTAAGCAACTCTGATGCAGATGGTTTCCCAACCAGACCCTCGTGGGCAAAAGGTAAGAAACCATGGCAATGCCCTGGAGCCCTGAGACATTATCTTTAGCATTTCAGAGTTAGGAGAGTTGTATTAACCAAAGATAATGGTTTAGAGACTAGGCTTATACTGGAATTGCATATACTGGAATCGGCAACAGCTACAGATTACTAAGACAGCTATCAACTGTACTTAGGTGTCGTTTTAAAAAGTTATTATGGAAATAGATACTATAAATTCACTTTGCAAAAAAGACTGATCTGTGTTGCAAAAAAGACTGATCTGTGGGGGCTACTCTAACTAGCACCTATCACTTTTTTTTTTTTTTAAAAAAAGCCAGTGTTTTTTCGAGAAGCAAATATAGTTATTTCTTGAATCTATAAACCTAAAAGTAATGGCAAACATCCTGCAATAAAACTTAGCTAGTATGCACACAGTAGCACATGGCTATGAAGACTACATGACAAAAACACTTATTTTGACTACTTTAGACCTATTTCTAGATTTTAAAAGGGTAGTTTTAATCTGTTAATACAGTGCAACATAAAGTTCAATTATTTCTTAAGTGACAAAATACCTTCTGTGGGGACAGAGGAAGCCTCTCTTTAACTTCATGACTAATTTAATGTTAGTGAGTCTCACACCACATGACATCCACCAGAACAAATGAATGGGGTCTGGAAGCCCCACAGTGGCACTGATCAGCGCGAGAATTAAGTTTTTTATTTCCTTTAGCATCGGTTTGCTTTGCCACCACGATGGCAAAGGGATCGACTGGAATGGTCTTCCAAAAGTGTGCCTGGAGCCCATGGGGTTTGGGATACAGAAATCTCCAAACGCACGTTGCTCCACCCTCACTCCTAGAATCTTACCTGGATACTCAACCCAATTCCTCCCATCCTAACATATTCGAGCTATCAAAAAGATAGCTTAGGTTGACATTTCTAGTTTATGAGGAAAGTAAGTACCAAGCATAAATATTTTATTTTGCTATCTGCAATGTGTCTGACTGTCATAAATGTTGATACCTGGTCAATAAAATGGCTTTATTTGAAATGAAAGCTCTTACTCCGTAGGAAGATCAAATTTTTAACTTGGCAATTTTATGTGAACATAAAAAATTCTTCGAAGGGGAAATTCTGATGAGGTGCATTTTTACCCACAGAAAAGGTAGTTTCAGCATTTATGAAAGTACTTCACTCCATAAACCCGGCACTAATTTTTTTTTTTTTTAAAGCACAATAAAATATAAAGTGCTCTCAAGGTAAAGCAGCTCCAAAGCCGCCATCTGCAGCAAAAGCTCCAATCCTGCAAGCAGCAGACTCAGGCAGAGGGGACTTCCGAGGCAGGTCCATGTTTTCTTTCTCTTTACTTGTTTAAAAATAAAAACCCACTAATCAAAACTTTTATAATGCAATGTGTCAGATACAAGCAATTTTTGCCAAAAGTGTGCCCGCGGAATCTTCAGACTTCTTAGAAATCATGTTTTGAAGTCCAGAACTTACTGGTAACATTATTTCCTATGGGAACATACCATGAAGCATTCTTAATCCATTTCTGGAGGAGTGGGGAGGGCGTTTTCCAACACCAAGGAACCTCAGTTGTACTCAAAGATGCATGTTTCTTAACAAACTATTCTGGCTCAGCAACAGACTACTTTTAAACTCAAAGTAATTTAAAATCTTAAAAGTTCAACAACTGAAAAATTAATACCGTGGTTAAGTGGTTGATAGTGAAATCAGGCTGGGGCTTTCACAAAGGACTTTCTGTAGCGCCAGCAGCCACGGCAGGAAATTTATTTTTTTTTAAAGAGAGATTGTCAATTCATAATGAGCTCTGTATCAGTCAGGCTAAACTTTGATTTCTCTTTAATGTCCAAGAGCTTCTACTCCAAAAGCCTCTACCCCAGTGCTCCAAGGAAATGAAGTCACATCATGACATTCTCTCTCCAAAACCCAGTCGTTCTCTGTGACGATGCCATAAAGTGACATCTAATGACTCAGGTGTGTGTACTGGGCGGCAGGGGCATGCCACACACAAGCATCCTCAACTGCGCCTCAGTCTGGGAACGAGGTTGGTGCGACCCTCATTTCCGAGGGACAGCTGCTGTTTTAGTTCCCGTCTTATCATTACTGGAGTTTCAAGTGTAGTACCAGAAACCAAATTAAAACTCACAGGAACGCTTCACTCTGTACTGTTTCCAGATGTTCAGATATCTACAAACACTCGAGTAGAATCAAGATTAGATTTTCAAGTAATCGGCGTGAATTAAGCTTTGAATCGATAGTCAACTCAGAACTGAGAGAGGATTTTACACACAGAATAGAACATACTTTGTCAAAAAGTGCACATTCTGTCTGGCACTTGTGGGAAACAGCC